ATGAGAGAGTTGTTGCTCTTCTTTTCTTCGATCTCCTGTTGAGTTTGTAGGTGTTCAGAATGGTTTGATCCCTATCCAGCTGAATTCCTGAGAGGACACGAAATCCAGGTCTCCTACTCCTCCGCCATCTTGCTCCGCCCAATTTCAGGAGCTTTTGAAGGACACATGATATCAAAACAATTGGGAGTTCTTAGTGACTTTGTTCAGCTCACCCTCCAAAATTAGGAGAAGCATCCATCAAGCTGCATGCATGGGGCTCACCTGTTTAAGATAGGGCATTCACCATGTAAAGGTCTATAGGCTTTTCATTCTCATTTAAGGGCAAGAAGAAGTATAGCCTTGAACCTGGAAAAGGCCCTGACTCCAAGCACAACAGTAACCACTCAGATATAGGACTCTCAGTGGAAATGGAGAGGGTCTGGTTGGGACCGACACCAAAGCCCACTGTGTACCAGTCTCCTAGGCCCCACACAGCATCACTTCGGATGCTGGTAGATGCTTATCTGACTGAACTTCTTGATGAGGCACAGATGATTTTGAAAACAAGGCCTACTTCTTAGATGCCCAAGGAATAGCAGTCGATTTCCTTTTCTCCCCCATAAGCCTTAGGGCATTGACTGGAAGCTACTGGGCAGGGGGCGGGGAATGTTGTGTCCTAGAATAATGTAAATATTCTGGAAAAGCACAGGACCAAAGATTACCTAGAATGATAATAGCAGGCACTTATATATCATACCTGGAAACTATTTGAAGTATTTTTTGTTATAGTAACTACAGCTGTATGAGGTAGATATTTTACAGATGAGAAAAGCAAGTTTAAGGAGGTTAAGGAACCTGCCTAAGGGCATTTGGCTTTTGCATGGCTGGGCCAGGATTTGAAGCCAGGCAATCATTTCCCAAGTCAGACTTTTAACCATGACTTTCTACTCTGCCTTTCCAGCTCTCACCCTACCAGACCTGGCTTACATTTACCTGAAAACCTTACTGTAGCAATCCAGTGCCAACCAATCCATCAAGGTATGTAATGGAAAGGTGGGATGCATGTTTCTTTTTTAATCAGAGTGGAAAAACAAAAACAAAAACCTCCAGGGCCCCAACATTTGCCAAGGCAGCTCTCTACCCTCACACCTGGGATACTCTCCCAGATTCAGGAAACAAATATTTGTCTTCAGCAGATTCTCTGAAAAAAAAAATGCACACATCCCACAAAATAGAGAAGAAAGAGTGACAAAGTAAGCTTTGGATTAATGCTAGGTCAGAGCACATGGTTCAGTTTCTGGGTGGAATGAAGCATGTAGCTGTCCTAAGGTCTCCAGAGGATATCTGTAGGGCTCCCAACTGTTTGACGAGGCATGAGGACTTCTCTCTCCTCCTTCTCATTCAAAGACCACAGAAACTTAAATGGAACCACAAGCAGAATAAGAACATGGTGAATGCTCTTCAGATCCGTTGAGGCGAAAAAGCAAGGAAGGTGGTCAGGAAGGTCCTGGGTCTATGCTAGTGTCAGGAAAGTAGAGTGACCCGCAGAGGGGTCCTGGGTGGCCTGGAAGGGAGTAAGTCACCAGCCTCTGGGGAAGGAGAATTCAGGAAGAGAACTGAGAAGGCTGAGTGAGGATAACTCCCCCTTGTTTGAGGACCCTGCTTTGAGGAGGGTATAAGCTGTTTATGGGCAAGGAGAACATTGAAGTACTATGTGGTAATTATACACCTATTTTTTTTTTAAGATTTTTTTATTTATTTATTCATGAGAGACAGAGAGAGAGAGGCAGAGGGAGAAGCAGGCTCCCAAGGAGCAGGGAGCCCGATGTGGGACTCGATCCCAGGACCCTGGGACCATGACCTGAGCCGAAGGCAGACGCTTAACCATCTGAGCCACCCAGGTGCCCTATACACCTATTTTTTTAAGGATGCTACTGATTTGCCAGTCCCCAGAAACCTCCAAAATGGTCTCCAAATTCCAACTTCAGCATTTCATGACATCTCTCAAACTCCTTCACACATCTGGAAGCAGTATAAAACTCTTTGCCGACAATGTAGCCTGATGGTTGGCTTAGAAAATATGATTCTCATAACTGTTTGTAGATTCCATTAACTCATTTATCCAATACACATATGTTAAGTGCCCACATGTGCCAGGATAATGTTTTCACTGAAGATACAAGGAGAACAGAGACCAGAGCTCACAGTTGAGCAGCTACAGATATGTCTGTCGCATCTAATTCAGGTTCTAAGACACAAATGACTTTCTTCCAAAATTGAAACAGCCATCTGAAATGGCAAAGTCCACCCTTCCCACTGCTGTAACTGTTGGAACACATCATTCTGGTGAAGTCCTTTGAGCATCTTTTCCCCTAAACTATCAAATCTGGATTTGGGTAACAAGTCTCAGGAGCAGAGCTCCATAGAGGTACTTCCTACTTCGACCATTAGGTCCTATGATTAGAGTTTCTCCGGAGTCCCTGGAAATCTCTAAAAAGGAAGTAAGCCTAGAGAGGAGAGATGTCCAATTGCTCATTGATGGTGGTGGATTTGCTTAGGGAGGAACACAGAGGGAGACACCAGAAGCATCCTAAGTAAACAGATCACTTTCTGTGGGGAAATTGGAGTATAAAGGAAGGTAAGTGACTGCACCTCATTTGTGGCAAAGTTAGGACAAGACACCAGTCTCTGATGCTCTCTCTGCTGCACTTTGCTGCTTCCAAAACAAAAACTTCTCTCCACACACTCATTCTCATTATTATTGCTCTCCCATCTTGCCCTCTGTGTGATGATCACTGCCCTCAGAATACCCACTTCCCATCAAGGTTGGGGCCCTGCAAGCCTTTGCCCTCTATTATTCTAGATAAAGAACCTTTACTAAATAGAACTCACTTGTTTGTTGACTCAGTTTCCCCACCAGCATAAATAGTAGGTCCTGGTCTCCCTCTTTGAAGATACTTTTCCTCCAGTATATTTGGGGGGAGGGGATATCTCACAGCAGCTGCCTCATTAATCTGAAACCATAGTTGTGCCTCCAACATTCAGTCCCTCCCTGTCTCTAGCTTCTGTTCCTCCACAGACCTCATTCACTTTCCTGCCTGTCCTCTTAGACCTGTCAAGTGTTGTGATCATCAAGACCCCAACAGCTAACCCCAAGCTTTAATGAGTAACAAGACATTAACATGCATTTGGAAATAATAGAAATTACAACTCTGAGAGAGCTAAAACTGGTACTAGAAATGAGGAATCAAAGTTCACAGGTCAAACCTCTCCCTGTATAAGCTCTGCTGGCCACCACCCATCCTAGTCTGCTTTACCAGTCCTAGACTCTGGGCATTTCCTTCCATCAGACAGATGGTTCTTCTTTCCATGGGGCACTTGACTGGTGATCTCTGCTTCAGTGTTCCCCAAGTACTCTCCCATTTTCTGTCCCCTTCTGGCATGTCTCAACATGATTAACAGTTGAAATGTCTTCACCACTCAAGAAAGGTTGGTCTTGCCTCTGGGCCCCTAACCAGAAAATGAGCTGAAAGGCAATAAATTAAACATCAGTCATTTTCCAAAGTCTGGGTTAATTAGTCTAGAATATTGCAAAGTGTTTGGCTTCAAACAAATGAGCCAGATGGGCTTTGAGCTGCCCAGTCTGGCCCTCTTGGTGATCCCTCCATCCACCTAAGTGAGGGTGAGTTTCCATTGCTTCCACCTGCACCCACACCCAGATTTCAGCCTTCATTCCCATAAGAAGAACCACATATTTTCCAAGAGCAGGGAACAACTTTCAGAGACTCTGAAGACTAAATCTTCTTTAAAAATGAAATATTTCCTTATAGAAAACAATTTGCAGAGCTGCAATTCTACCCATGATGAAAACAGCTTATGTTATAACACAGGAACCTCTTGGAAGGGCAGGGTCTAAGTTTCAGCATTCTAGAGTACTTGATTTCCCCTTTAATGACCAAATATCCCCTGTAATGTCTCCCAGAACAAAGGAATATTTGCCTTAGAGTTCTGTTTGTCCTCCTGTTTTATAATATATCAAATAAGGAAAGCTTTGAAAGTACAGGTCTTTTTTTTCTCCCAAGATTTCAAAGATCCCAAAACAAATTCTTTGTTAGGGATCAAGATCAAAGAGCTATGTCCTTCCTTTGCCCTCAGGAGCCTCTGCAAGAAGGATGTTTTTCCCAAGCATATGGCCTAAGGTGGAGAGCCTGCGTCATATTCTAACAGCAGGGTTACAGAGATTAGCAGTGGGAGAGGCATGGGGAGCTCTAGGCAAGGTCTCTAATGTAGACATTCTGGCAGCAGGTGCCATGACCATGAAGCAGGGGCCCCATGGCAATCTCCTCAAGGGCTCTGGAAAGCTATCACCTGCAAATCAAATCCACCCCTTTTCCCATCATTTCCTGTAGATACTAGCTTCAGAGCAGGAGGGGGAGGGGCATGTCAGTGTGTCTGTGCCCATGTTATCACTCTTGGGCTACAAACTCATGTACAGCAGGAACCACATTCCTATAACACCCTTTCAATGCCAAGCATTTCACATGCAGTCCTAGGATTAAACTAGAAGGGACCTTGGAGTTTCTCAAATTCAACTTTTTTCATTCAGATAAAAAAACTGAGATCCAAAAGTAAACTTACGTTGCTAAGGCTGCATAGCTTTTTTATCCCAGAGTTGAGACATAACCACAACCTCCTGCCTTCTTGTCAGGTGTTCTTCCCATATAACAAGGGTTTTTTTGAACAGGTAAAATGCATTTGCTTTAGAGAAAGGAAAATAAATACACAGTTAACCAACTTTTAAAGCTCCCATCTCTCACCCAATTTGTGGTCTCTGGGACATATCTATACCCTCTAGGTTTTCTCCATGAATACTGAAACCTGACAGTGATTACCAAATCTGACTATGCCTAAGCATCTCTGGAGAACTTCTTAATGTAGAGTCCAAGGCTGACCTCCTTGAGATTCTGATTCTGTAACTCTGGGGAAAAGAATGGGACTCTGTGTCTAAAATCTTCTCCAGGGAATTCTGTGATTGAGCTTGTTTTGAGTCATTGCTTTGGACCATATGAAGTCTATACTGCATTGTATGTTCAGCTTTATAGCATTATCCTATTCTATAAACATTAAGAATATTGCATAAATATAAGCATGTCAGCCTAAAACTTATGCTAATAAGCAGATGTTTTGAATGTAAACTATGTAAAAAATGAAATAAAATAACCTGTGTATTAAAAAAAACAAAAAACAAGGTTTTTTGATAATGGCAATATGAATAAAAATCAGGGGGTAAATCCTACAAATATTACCATTCAGAAAGATATTCCTAAGTGACCCCTATGTTGCAGGCCCTGTTTTTGGTGCTGGGAACACAAAGACCAATGAAACATAGTTCTTCTCTTAAAAAGCTCATGGTCTAGCCTTTGAGAAAGAAGATAATGACTCAGTAATGAAACAGCTGTGACAAGTACGTAAGGGGCACCAAGGAGAGGTACCTTCCTTTGAAAACTATATACCCATTCTGATTTTTACTATGTCCAGGTAATTTAAGTCTTCCTGGAATACTTAAGGAATAATTCAGTTTTAGGGGAGTTTAAAAATCACCTGCTTGTTCAGGTAATGTGGATGTGCATGTGCTGGGAGTTGGGGGATGGGTCCTCTGCTCTGACCTCTTGGAGGGTTGGGTTAGCATTTGTTCCAGCAGCCTCAGAGAGGACTAACTGTACCCACCCCCGGTGACCCACACCCAGGCACTGTGCCAGCCTCAGGATGCACCTGTTGATCTCCCCTCTGCAAAGGACCTGTTCCTACAGCTCCGAGTGGGACAGTTTCCTAATAACAGGAGCCAGCTGATGCTTAGCAGGATGACATTGCATTTTCAAGGCCCAATCTTGGCACCAGGATGCAGGCAGGTAAGAATAGCCTGAGTACCTCTCTTGAGGATGTGTCACAGGGCTTGCTCAACCATGGCTTCCCAGGAAGTACATTCTTGAGCTGAGGCCAACAAAGGAGCAGGGGAACCCCAGAGAGCAGCACCAGCC